GTTCACTGGCTAGGCACTGCACCAGGCTAGAATTAGTTCTAGCCCTGAGTCCAGATAGATACATAGATGATTCTAAGATTCATAAGAAAAATGTAAGTGAACACAGGGATTCAAAAATATATCAAAGTTGATGAAACATTTTTCTTAATCTTGACTGATGAAAGAAAAGGTCGAATTGAACCTAAATTCCACAATTAGGAATATATGGAAAAATATCTACAACAACATATGCCTTTATTTTAGAAGTATAAAACACAACGAAAAAACAAAGCTCTGAGAATCAAGCAAGACAGATTTTTTAATAACTGATTTTAGATGGGTCTAAAGGCTTTTCCTGGAATTATTTTGTTTTTTAAATCCACAGATTTTAAATCCAACTTAACTGATAAAAACCAGCCCACTGGTTTTAGAAGGCTTTCAATTACCTAAGTGATACCCAATACTGAGTGTATTATTAACCTACATTTTTAAATAAAGGCAAAGGAACTGGATTGATCTAGCTTAGAGAAGAGGAAAGGGGATTTGTTCACCTCCATTAAGGACAAGCAGAAATGCATCATTTTTTATTACTGGGATTTAAAACAGCAATTGCAGAAGCTATCTTATGTACTGAGTACTGTGACGTAAGACAAAGAAAAGGTGTGAGGAGGGTGACATTCTGAAAAGGCTTGATATTTGGGGGGGGACTATCTTTTCTTTTCCAAAGAAGGCAGGTAACACTTGAGATTTTTGTGAGCCAAAAACATTTAAAACATTCTAGAATGTAACAACATCCAAACAAGGAGAAGGAAGACAGAAGAAAATTATAAATATAAAAAATAATTACAGCATAAAAAGCAATGTTCCCCAACATTCTCTATCATATTTATAAATGTGAAATCTGTTGTCATCCACAACTAAGAAGAGAAATTCCACATCCACTTTTTAAAAATTGCTGTGGTTATGAATAAAACTAGACATTCAAAAAAGTTAGCCTTCCAAAATCTAAAACACTCAAAATGTGGAGTTTTCTAAACAACTCTTAGGCTGAAAGGGAAAGCTTGCAATAACAGAAACTGAGGACAATAAGAACACACATATCAAGCTTAACAAATTAATTTATGAAGTTAACCAGAGAAGAAAGAATAAATGAGTGTTAATGCACTATAAAAGATCTAAAAAAAGATGGGATTCCCAACTGATTACTAAACCATACTGCCAAGTGATAATAACTAAAACAAATATGGTACTGCCAGCCAAGCAGATGAAAGAGAACCAGGCATCCTGAATCAGGACAGACATGTACACCCACACGCACATAGATATACATATGTGTATTTTTTTTTTTTTTTGTCTTTTTTGTGACCGGCCGCACCGCGCTCAGCCAGTGAGTGCACTGGC